GGCACACCGCCCCGCCACGCGGCGAGAAGTCCGCAGCCTCTTAATCGCGCCTCTCTCTCTCTCTCTCTCTCTCTCTCTCTCTCTCTCTCTCTCTCCCCCCCCCCTCTCTCTCTCTCTCTGGGCTAATCGCGGTGCTTATCCGCGCCATAATCTACCCGTCCTGCGATATCGCATCCCGTAATACGCAGTCCCAGTCCGAGGGTGCGGGTGCGGGTATTCGGCGAAGGCGAGGTGGGTCGTTAAGGCGCGGTAGGGGCCGCCCGGGAGGTAGGCCGCGCGCCGGCGTGGGTGCGTGGCGTTGCCTCCCTCCCGGGCGCTCCCGCTCCCGCTCCCGCTCCTGCCCGTCCCGGACCTGGCCACCTCCTCCCCGCCGCGCCGCTACACTGTCCCCTCCACACTCCCCCAACCCCCTTCTCCACCCTCCCACAACGCCACCGGCCGGCTCGATATTCGCGTCCCTTTTGCGAGATTACAAACGAAAGTGAACTCGGCGCATAAATCTGGGCGGTACATGCCAATGTGACAGATACACGGCTGCTCTCTCGCGCGCCGCCGCTCTCTCGTCTCGCCCCGCTGCCCTCGGGGGAGCCGAGGAGAGCGAGGAACAAGTAGAGAGAGAGAGAGAGACACGGAGAGGGAGAGAGCGTCGGAGGGGAACGGGGAGGGAATGGGGTAGGAAGGGATTTCTTTAAGGATGGCGATCCCCTGAGCCGCCACCGCAACCTCCACCACCACCGCCGCCCGCTGCGAAACGCGCCCTCTAAAGCAGCGCTGGCCACTTCTCTTCCCCCTACCCGCCTTTCACAAGTCTCTTAAATTTTTGAAAAGTTGGCACTGCCCCCCGCCCTTACGAAGGTCAACATAATATTTTTTTCACCTCCCTCCCCTTCCCTTCCGCCCTCCTTTTCACGATTCTTTCTCCTTTATTTGTTACTTTTGCTCTTTTTAATTTTTTCCCAGGAAGACGACGACGACGACGACGACGTCGTCGGTGGCGGTGGTGGGCGCGGGCCGAGGCGGGGACCATCTAGCTGATTAAGGAAGCAGCGTGACGCGCGGGCCGCGGCCACGTCGCCGCCCCGAGGAGCGCCGCGGAGGTAAGGAGGCCATTAAAATTCTTTCCCAGGCGTGGCGCGGTGTGGCGCGGTGTGGCGCGGCGTTGCGCGGTGTGGCGCGTTGTGGCGTGGCGTGGCACGGCCACCGCGGAAAAGTTTGGTCCAGCAGGCGCGCGCTGTACTTGTGATTCTGGCGCGTCAAGCGCGGCCGCGGCGGCCTGCCCTGCCCGCGCAGAGGTGGAAGTTATTTTCGGACCGCTGCCTTTCTTCTTCACTGTTCGTCCACTCCCCCCCCCCCCCTCTCTCTCCCTCTCCCTCCCTGTCTCTTTCGCTCTCTCTGCTCTGCTCTTGCTCTCCCGTTACTCACCTCCCGCTATACTCTCTAGTTACTAATCAACGTTCAGTCCACACGCGATACGGCCCAGACAGCTTGCAGAGGCGGGGGATAGAGTAGAGGAAGGGGGGGGGGCAGCAATACGTAACAGGATTACGCCACCCGGAAGTTGGTTCCACATATTAAGCTCCAACTCAATGCGGTACAAGTTTGCAGCGTGCGATCGCGGGGGTGTGGGTGCGCAGCCCCCTCTCTCTCCCTCTCTTCTCCTTTCTCCCCGGGGAGCCTCGCCTCGGCAGGGAGGCAGGGGGTCTAATAATCTGAGGGGCCGTGCCACGCCACGCCCAGCCCCGCAGCGCCACGCCACGCCACGCCACGCCATGACTTGGTAATCAGGCCTATACGGGGAAACCAATCAGGGTTGGCATTGTGCGCTAGTTTGCACCAATAGCGGACTATGGTAGTGCGTCTGTCGGGTCCCCTTTACTTAGCGAGCCACTCTGCCGCCGCTGCTGTGTGAGCAGACTGTTTTCCTCCTACCCCCGCTTCCCAGTGTTGCCAGATTCGAAGAGGGCAGTTGCGGACTGCCGGAGCTCAAAATGCGGATTTGGGGATTCAAATGCGGAAAAAAGGGCTTTTTGATCGAAATTATATGAGGAGTAAAGAACAAAAAATGCGGATTTTGGCCAAAAATCAAATGCGGATTGCGGTTGGCGTCTAAAATTGCGGTACAAAATGCGGAAATGCGGGACGTCTGGTAACACTGCCGCTTCCCCTCCTCCCCACATACAAATCACACTGAACGAGGGAGAACTATTCGACAACTTTAACCTAAAAAAAATAGGAACCTGCTGTCTCTCAGGCGCGTAATGTTCAGCCGTGGGCTTCCAGACCCAGGTCGAAAAATCAACGTAGTAGTTTTTTGCTGGGTTGCTTTAGATCGCGTTGCTTTCTGACTAATCTAACTAGCAAGTAGCAAGTAGTGGAGCCGAACTGCGCGCGACTGTTCGAACAGCGTGGCTCACCTGTGCAGGTATCAACTTTTCTGCCAAGCTTAAGCTTCGACGTGTGTTTGCAGACATTCATATCAGAATAAATTTTTCTCAAACAATCGCGAAAAGTACAATTTCTTTGCAGGCGTCGGAGTGACGAGGCATCGCAAACTCGCTCCAAGCCAGAAGCCAGGCCTAGTTGTCTCGGTTCATTTCGTGAGTGTGTGTGTGCACCTCTCTCCCCTCTGACAGCGCCACGAACAGTACCGCTCAGCGCCGAGACACGGCTTCACGAACTTTTCCTCTCTACTCTTTCAATTTATTTTCATAATTTTTCCATTAACCAGACCATCCCATACGTCATATGCTCTGGCCTCCACCTCCTATCTCCCCCGCCTCGCTTATTCCACCTCTCTCTTTCTCTCTCGCACGCTAAGCGGTGTCAGCATCGATCCTCACTCTTCGCCTCTCTTTCTCTCTAACATTACTCTCTCTCTCTCTCTCTCTCTCTCTCTCTCTCTCTCTCTCTCTCTCTCTCTCTCCGACTCGCTGCTACCCCTTGACTTTCACCATCTTCCTCCGGGAGTCGTAACCGAGTTGGAGTTGCAGTGCTCGCCCTTACCTCCCCTCCCCTTCTCCCCCGCCCCTTTCCCTTTCCTCCGGGATTCTTAACGCCGCCGGTCCTGCCCCCGGCCGCCCCAGGCTGCCCTTCCCTACCCCGCAGGCCCACCCGCTGGCTCGCCGGCCACGTCCCGAAGATATTTCGCCGGGCTGCGCCGACTAATACCGAAGGAAACTCGTAAGAGGAATTCTATCCCGAAGCAGCAGCTGTCGCCGGGCGAGACGCGCCAACAGTGCGGTCGGGTCGAGCAGAGGGGGGACAGGAGTCAGAGGGACTCTCGCGTCATCAGCAGTGTCCAACCAGGTCGATGTGCGTCGGTGTATTTTGCTTTCAGTGCCATCAGGTGTGTAGTATCTAGACAGTTGATATTACTTGTGCGCAGTTTTTTTCGTGTAATCATCTTGACCTTTTGTCCTATAGCCAACACTGTGAAAAGTGTTACAACATTCGTTGTGATTCTAATTTTCAAAATTAGTTGTAAATTTGTGATAGACCACTCTTGCTGTTTTTTGATCAGTTCCAAGAGTCGATACGTT